AGCCTGACAGGGCAGGGCTCAGTCTCACAAATCGTGAGATCATGAGATGAAATCAAGAGTCAAGAGTCACACACTTTATTTTAACTCCTTATGTGGAGCTCAGATTGAAGAGTGGGCAGTTGAGAGGCTTTGAGAAAAGTCCCTCCAAATTATCTGACCATAAATTTTGTGATAAAACAATTCTCCCAACTGTATGGCTCACCTCTTTAACATTAGGGGCCATGAATTCTAGCTTGACGGAATGTCTTCAGTGAAGGCTCTCTAGTCACTGGAATGTGAAGAACTGTTTTTCCTTATTACATTCAACTGTTCTAACAAATAAATGATAGTGAAAGGGGGTTTGGGGGTTTGGAGGAAAGAAAAGATTGAATATATAAAGAGGATTCTGGGAGGTGGTGAGAAGAAGAGAAAAAGTCAGAAAGTTAAAATCAGGTGACAAAGCCATGTGTTGGGATGGTTTTTCATTTATTCATTAAAATGATATTTATTTGGTGATATTGTATGTGCCAGGCAAACAAACACATACATAAGTTGGATGATTTTATTTGTTTTGTTTTTTATTATTTTTAATTATTTTTATTTTTGAGAGAAAGAGAGACAGAGAGAGACAATGAGTGAGGGAAGGGCAGAGAAAGGGGGACAAAGGATCCGAAATGGGCTGTGCACTGACAGCAGCAAGTCTGATACGGGCCTTGAACTCACGAACCACAAGATCATGACCTGACCTGAAGCCGGACGCTCAACCAACTGAGCCACCCAGGAACCTCAAGCTGGATGATTTTAGATAAGTCTATGAAGACAGTGAAATGGGATAAGATGGAAGTTGATGGGGAGGGGTGGGACTTGCCTTTGGGTGATGAGGGAAAACCTTTCCAGGGTGACTTGAACAGAAAACTGGGGGACAAGAAGAAGCCAACTCTGGAAGGATCTATCTTTAGCAGTCAGTGCAGCCTGTATCTGATTATTCAGAGGTAAAACCAGGTAGGGGTTCTCTGAAAGGACAGTGGAATTCCTGATTTCTAAGCCTGTTCTAAGCAGCCCTTTGAGCTCCATCCCTGATCCTGCAAGGCACCCTTCTGTTTCTGGGTGGGAGAACCATCATAATTGACACTTGCAGCTCTTGGGCTATTTTGAGAGCAAAGACAGCAGGATAAATAGCAAACAGGAGTCAAGGTATCTGAAGATGTAGAAAGGGGAAGAAAACACAAGGAAAAATAGAAGGGAAGGAAAATGGGGGAATTAGAAGAAAGGAGAGATGCCTGAAGCTTTTATGTTTCTTTTACATGGATGCTTTGCTGGGAATGATTACAAAACCAGTGGAAGGGTCAATGTTTAGCAGAAAATCAAAACCCACCTGTATTGTATTGTAACTACCTTAATATTTTCATGTTCTGCTAAAAACACCTGGAAGCCTTTCTCGTCAGTAAGTGAAACAATAAAGATTAATGAGTTAATTTGGTAAAGCTGATTTGAATTGCACAGAAGGTGTTGCGTAAGTACTTGGCATTTAAAAAGTTATCTGACATTTAAAAGGAGATGGCTGTTAATGAATTCGAGAGCTAATCTTATACTCTGACAGAGTGAGCCATGGAAAATCCAGGATTATTATCTTGCTGTAAACATAATGTGATTCAGTTGAACGCCAGAACAAAAGAGAGCTATCGGCTGTAATACAAATATCCATATGCTCACATACATAATGTAGCAAAACTTACAGAGGATGTCCATTAAATAAATATAATTTCCTTTCTTACTCTTATAATCTCTGAGCCACAAACTTAAAGAAAAACCCTTCTCTCTGGTAATTTTACCTCCTCCTTTCAATTTGTGTATTTTGAAGGGTCACCACCCAGGGTTGGCTCTGTAGTCAATGGAATGTTTTACCTTAAGAAGGAAAGCAGATCCTAAACGCAGCCAGCTATATCTCTACCCATGGGGCCCACAGAGCCCCAAAGATATAGATCTATCCTGCAGGCGTCTCTCAGACCCTCCTCTTTACTTCTCCCACTCCTTTCTAATTGGGGTTCCCCATCTCTGTAGCTGTGGCTTAATGGCTCCAAGAGGAGCTATTGTCCCTCATTAAGAAGGCTGCAACACTCTCGCTGTCTAA